AAGGCTGGTGGTTCAAACCCACCAGCCACTCCTCAGAAGGAAGGTTGGGCAATCTACTTCCGTAGTGATACCACCTCGGAAATCCAAGGAGGGGTTATTATGAGTTGGATCCGACTCAACAGCAGTGTTTTTTTTTTTTTTTTAATGTGTATATATATTCTTATACATACACACATATATACATACATATACACATATGGAACACTGGTGGCGCAGTGGTTAAAGCATTCATCTGCTAACCAGAAGGTTGGCAGTTTGAACCCACCAGCCACTCTGGGAGAAAGATGAGGCTATCTGATGTTTCTATAAAGATTTGCAGCCTTAGAAACGTATGGGGCAGTTCTACTCTGTCCTCTAGGCTATGTGTCAGAATCAACTTGATAGCAATGGGATTAATGGATTTATATGTATAATGGTGGGAGCTTTGGTAGCGTACTGCCTAAGACACTTGACTACTAACCAGAAGGCTGGTGGTTCAAACTCACTAGCCACTCCTCGGAAGGAAGATGGGGCAATCTACTTCCGTAGTGATGCTGCCTCGGAAACCCAAGGAGGGGTCACTATGAGTCAAGTCCAACTCAACGGCACATAACAACAACAACAACAATGTATAATGGTATTGGTGGTATCTAGATCAGGCCAAAACAGTGAAAGTGGTGCTTGAGTGATGAAGCTTGGGGGTCACTGGACTTGGGAAAGAACCTGTGATCAGGAGTGAGAGGCTCCAAGAGGCTCCGGGTTCCACCTCCACTCTCCAGCTGTAAGAGCTTGAGCAAGTTTTTAATCTCTCGGGACTCAGTTTCCTCATCTCTAGAATGTGCCTGATTATCATGAGCAGTAAAAGGTTCAGCCTCAAGAAATTACCACACTCCTGGTAGCAGATACATGAATGGCCCCGACTGTCCTGATGCTTTTGTGGGCTCAAGAACCTGAGCCTTGGATGTAAATCCTTGGGCAAGTCATTCACCCTCTGGACTCGGTTTCCTCACGTGTAAAATGGAGTGATAATTATACTCACTTCCCAGTGATGTCGAGAGGACTGACTCGGGAGAGGTCTGGGAAGGGTGCTTTATGGCGCGCCAAGGGCCATGGGATTCTGGTGTTTCCTCACTCTCGTCTCCCCCAGCCTGGGCTTCTCTCTCTTTTACCTATGCTTATACTCAGGCCAGAGAGTGGTTTCTTCTGATCCTTAGCAGATTAGATGGGCAGCCTTGGAGGCTCAGCCTGGTGGGGAGATCCCCTGGAGAGTCTGAGATCAGGTGTCCCCCCCGCCCCCAGGAGCCTCCCCTGACACTGGCACGGGCACCGGCCCCACCCCCACGCTGGGACCCGTCACTCCTGAGATCTGCAAACAAGACATTGTCTTTGATGGCATCGCTCAGATCCGTGGGGAGATCTTCTTCTTCAAGGACCGGTGAGTGCCCTCTTGCCCTTTGTTCTTCCCCATTTGTGTGCCCTCACCCCTTACAGAGGACCCCTCAGGAGCATCCCAGAAGGGCCTTGAATTAGAGTTTTTGCTGCTTATCCAACAACCTCCAAATCTTAGTGACTTACAACAACAGCATTTCTTTTGCTCCCTCATAGTCCTGGGTCCACTAGGGTGCCTGCTTTGGGCTTCAGTTTGGGTTCAGGCCTACTCTTCATGTCACTCATTCTTCTGGGATTAGTGGGTACTTCTGGCAGATGGCAGAAGAGTCAAACCACGTATAAGCACATTTAAAGCCTCTATTCACATCACGTTCAAGACTTCTGTTGGCAGAAGCAAATCACATGGTCAAACCCAACAGCTCTCTGGGAGTGGTACTGCAAAATCACATGGCTGTGTAATTCTAAAATATAGATAGAATTGGGCACAGTAATCCAGTTTACCATAGACTTGCTCTGGAACAGCCTTGACTTCAAATGACCAAATTGCTCCAGGTATGGAATGACCACAGGGCACAGAGAGTCAGTGATAATCATGCTGTAGACACAGCCCTTCCTCAGCCAACCAAGGGCTGAGACTCACTCTATTGCCCCATTCCCCCTGGAGAATGGCATGTAGCATCTAGGGTCCATTCATCTTTTATCCATCTTCTATCTTTCACCCACCCATCCATTCATCCATCTATCTGTTGAGTATAACATATTTTTTTGCAAAAAAAAAACACTCACATAAATAATGTGCCCACACCTAGAATGCTAATACCTTGCCAAGGTAAATAAATCACAAAGGGATTTGTGCCACTGGCAAAAAGAAACAAAATGAAACAAAACAACACCCATTTAATGTGTGCATTATTTGTGTAAAATATGGTTAAGTCTTTAGAGTCTAGACCTGCTACTTCCTAGTTGAGTGATTATGTTGTTGTTAGGGGCCGTCAAGTCAATTTTCAACTGCCCCATAGTGTTCCAGGCTGTAATCTTTATGGGAGCAGATTACCAGGTCTTTTGGCCCTGGAGCTGCTGACTGGGTTCGAATCCTCAGCCTTTCATTTAGCAGCTGAACGCTTAACCATTGCACCCCAGGTCTGCTGGATGATCTTCTTTGTTCCTTAATTTCCTCATGTCTAGATGTAGCTACTATTTGATCCTCCTATGTTATATGTGGTATGTTATGAGGAGTAGATAAGCTGAGTGCTTAGAACAATACCTGGCATAGGGCCAGTGCTCAATCATTAGCTGTGGTCAACACATAATTTTCTGGCATCTACTGTGCCCAAACTGCTAGGTTTTAGGAGCTTGGGGTGGGGTGGTGACAGGGGTCTCCTTAATGTTCAGGTCAGCATTTCTCTAAGAGAGGTCCATGGATCACCTGGAGTGTGGACGTTAAAAGTGTGGGTTTCTGTCCCCCAGGACCTCTGTGGGCGGGCCCCATGAATCTGCATTTTAGCAAATTACCCAAATGAGGCTGATACACGTTAAAATTTGAGCATCTCCAGTCTGGCTTGGGAAATAGAGACATAGAGAATCAACAGTCGCACATGGCCGAATGAATGGAATGTAGTTGTGGAGGCATTTGCAGAATGCTTTTGTGGGCACACAGGAAAGAGGGATTGTCCACTAGTGACTTAAGGAAGACTCCACAGATGAAGTAGCACTTAAACAAGACTTTGATGGATGCAATGGGGATGACAGGTTGGAGAGTGAGACAGAGGGAACTGTAAGAGCAAAGACACAGAGATGTGAAAGTTCGTGGTGTATACAGGGAGGAATAGAGAAGCCAGAAGGTGTTCCACAAACTTCTGCACAGGACCTCCTCTGCCCCAGGCACTGGGCTAAGGGCTGGGGTGCAGATGTCCTGAAAATAGGGTTTGCAGACTAGTAGGAGAGATGACAAGAACACAGAGAGATGACACTTGAAATGCAATGAGAAGTCAGGTACCATCTGACTTTGAATATCCACACCAGCATTGAACAGATGTCACTGCTGCCAAGAAGCACCCCCCCCTCCCAGTACAGGGATTCCCAGGTGATGCTAATGCTGCTGGTCTGAGGACCACAATTTGAGAATCGATGGCTGAGACTAATTGGTATCTACTCTTAGAACAGGTACAGTTGTCACCAGGGAGAAGGATGAATCATAAATGTGAGTGTTCTGTGAGAAAGGACAGAGTGGAAAGATGATGCTGGCAAGGCCATCAAGAGTGGATATTATTCTCTTGTAATGTGAGGACTGAGACAGGCACATACAGTGCTTGCCAATTCATAGGCCTGCAATACGTGATTGCTCTTATTCTTGCCAAATGGCATAAATCCATTCCATTTCAACTCAGGAAATACTCTTTTGAGTGCCATTGGCTCTTGCTTCAGGAGCTCTGGTGGCATAGTAGTTAAAGCATTTGGCTGCTAACCAAAAGGTCAGTGGTTCAAACCTACCAGCCACTCCTGTGGGAGAAAGATGAGGCATTCTGCTTCCATAAAGATTTACAACCTTGGAAACCCTATGGGGCAGTTGTATTCTGACCTAAAGGATAACTGAGTCAGAATTGACTCAGTGGCAGTGGGTTTAGCTCTTGCCTCAAGTGGCTTCTAATCTTGTAGGAGAGCTAAGCCTTTTCTTTTCTTCTTCTTCTTCTTCTTCTTTTTTTTTTAAAGTGCAAACTACTCTTCCAGACACTCAGTGTTAATGATTTTGAGAGGCTTGGAGGAGGGAGAGTACAGTATGGATAGAGGTAGTCATGGAAGATGTGTTAGACTGGGTTCTCCAGAGAAGCAAAACCAGTAAACCTTAGAGATACATATAGAGAAAGAGAAATTTATCTTAGGAAAATGGCTCACACACTTATAGAGGCTGGCAAGTCCCAAGTTCTTGGATCACATGTCAAGCTGGAGGCTTTTCCTGACTCATGCAGCTGCAGGGCCTGACGAGCTCAAGGTTGGCAGGCAGTACACCGGCTGTTGACTCCAACAAATGACGAATCCAAGATCTCCAGGCCGAATGGTGGATTGTTCGCTCACGGACAGTTGTAGGCAGCACAACAGGATCCCGACCCACAGAAGAGTGTCTCTTTTCCCAGGATGTCCATAAATATACTGGAAGCAGGCCACACCCCTAGGGAAACTCCCTTTCAACAGATTGGCTCCTCAGAACATATACATCTGATCCCATCATGGCAATAACCCACATCACAATTGCTTAAACCACACAGAATTGTGGTCCAGCCAAGTTGACACACAGCTCCAACTGTCACAGTCCACCCCTTGTCAACATGGCAGGTGTACACATCTTCTTAACCATATATAAGCTCTAAATAAGGACAATTATAAAGTCATATTTGGGCCTAACATGATACACTAACACACATACAACCAAAACGCATTACCCTTATTTACATTTCACAGTTCATAACAGAAAGAAACAAAAATATTTGATGCACATATACAATAAAGAAATATAATAATCACAGTCCTCGTTTCTGCAACTGGTCACATGGTCGTAGCTGATATTCAGAATTACCCTCTTCCACCACCCATTCCGTATTTCCCTTGCCCTCAGCAAGCACCTCAGCTGGTCATGGTTCTTTGCCTGGTGGGGTGACCCAAACCTTCATTCCTGAAGGATCTGGGCCATTAGCAGTCATATCAGAATTGGGCTGCTGTAATTTTCCATCAACTTTAATCACAGGGCATGATAGTACTAAGAGACGTCCTAAAGAATCTCCTGTATTCCAGACATATTCTTCTTAACCTCCATTATGTAATGTCAATCCAATTTCCCCTCGGTAATCAGGATCTATCACACCAGATAATAGAATAACGCCCACCTTGTCTTTGCCAATTAACTGCTGTCACTTGGCACCTACTACCAAGAGGTCCAATCAGCCCCATTGTAGTTAAATGTCTTAGTTCAATTAGGGCAGTTCCCACTGTCAAATCCGGCTTACATAAAATAGCAATCACAGCAGCCTTCAAGGATGTTGGCACTCCCTTCACAAATTTATTCCTCACCGTACTGGTGTCTTCTGGACTCTCCATTTCTGGCTCTAGGGGTCTAATCTGATAAATCCATTCTAACATTCCAATTTCCCTAAATCTCTGGATACCTTCTTCTACATTATACCAAGGCAGGTCTGGTACTTCAACCTGACTTACAGTAGGCCACCACATAATCCATGCTTCAGTAAGCCAACCAAATAAACTATTAGATCCTTTTCCTCACCTCTCGAGCTGAAACATTGAATGAAGAATATGTACTTAATGGGCCTAAATCAATAAACTCGGACTGATCCAATGTTACATTCCTTGCACCATTATCCCACACCCTCAGTAGCCATTCCCATACATATTCTCCAGGTTTCTGTCTGTACACGTTAGCAAAATCAGGTAGGTCTTTTCAGGTGTAGCATACCACCTCTTCAGTCACATTTTGTATTTCACCTTTTGGGACTCACTTGGACTTAACTTTAGTTATAGGTCTAGCAGCAACAATGGGTGCTTGGGGAAGTTCCTGAGAACATTCAGCAATGTCTTCCGTGGTCTCTACCTTAGGCAATGACCCAGCAGGAACAATTGGGTTAATGCCATCAAATTGAGGTGGAAGGGATAATGGTTTTATATTAATCCCCTCAGATGAGAGGGATTCAACAGAACTTATAGGTTTCATCTCCTCTTCTTCCTGACTGTCTGCCCATATATCCCCATTCCAAATTTCAGAATCCCATTTTTTCCTAATCAATGCCCTCACTTTAACTTCAGACACCATTCTAGGTTGGGAATTTAATTGGCATTGTATTTCAGCCACCCTCCAATAAGACTCTGGGTTTGTTTTTGGCAATATCAGCTCTGTTAGTAGAAGCAATAAGGCTTCTTTCAGAACACAACCGGAAACATTGAGGTCTTTTATGCAGTGCTTGAGCTGTGACTCAGCAGCCCTGAACTCATCTCGCTCTTTCACCACTTTGTCTAGTGTATGTAGGACCAACCAACCAGCTTCCTTATACTCCTTATGCTGACAGAATTGCAGAAAAGTATCAAATATGCAATCCCAGAGCCTCCCTTCTCAAAAGTACTTGAACTACTGTCCATAGATGAATGGGTCTATTTCTGGACTTTCTATTCTGTTCCATTGGTCTATCTGTCTGTCATTGTACCAATACCATGCTGTTTTGACTACTGTGGCTGTATAGGAGGTTTTAAGATCCGGGAGTATGAAACCTCCCACTTTGTTCTTCTTCTTCAGAAGTGCTCTGCTTATCCGAGGTCTCTTTCCTTTCCATATGAAGTTAGTAGTTGGTTTTTCCATGTCCTTAAAAAATTTTTTGGTATCTGGATTAGGATTGCATTAAATGTGTAGATTGCTTTAGGTAGTATTGACATTTTCACAATATTCACCCCACCTATCCATGAACAAGGCAGGTTCTTCCATTTATGTAGAGCCTTTGTTGCCTCTTGTAGTAGTGTTTTATAGTTTTCTTTGCATAAGCCTTTTGTGTCCCTGGTAAGGTTTATTCTTACATATTTTATCTTTTTAGTAGCTATTTTAAATGGTATTGTTTCCCTTATATCTTTATTAGTGGTCTCTTAGACAAAGATTCAAAACCCATTAAACAGGGAAAAGGCAGCCTCTTTAACAAATGGTGCTGGCAAAACTGGATATCCACTTGCAGAAAAATGAAACAAGACCCATACCTCACCCCATACTCAAAAACAAACTCAAACTGGATCAAAGACTTAAATGTAAAATCCAAAACTATAAAATTCATCAAAATAAAATAGGGGCAACTCTAGGAGTCCTAATTTATGGCATAAATAGACTATCAAACATAACCTAGAATGTATAGGAGGTAGAAGAGAAGCTAGATGACTGGGACCTTTTAAAAATTAAATTCTTACGCGCATCAAAAAACTTCATCAAAAGAGTAAAAAGAGAACCTACAGATTGGGAGAAAATATCTGCCTATGACATAATCTGACAAAGGACTTATCTCCAAAATCTATAGAAAACTTCAACACCTCAACACCAAAAAGACAAACAACCCAATTCAAAAATGGGCAAAAGACTTGAACAGACACTTCACTAAAGACGATATGCTGGTCGCCAACAAATACATGAGGAAATACTCGTGATCTTTAGTCATTAGAGACATGCAAACTAAAACAATGATGAGATATGATAGCAAAGTTCAACAGGACAGAAAATAACAAATACTGGCAAGGTTGTGGAGAGATTGGAACTCTTGTGAACTGCTGAGTGCGATTGTAAAATGGTACAACATTGTGGCAAATGGTATGGCATTTCCTTAAAAAACTGAAAATAGAAATATTATTTGGCCCAGCAATTCCATTACTAGGAATATGTCCTAAAGAGGTGAGAGGCAGCACATGAACAGACACATGCATGCCTATGTTCATCGCAGCACAATCCACTATAGCAAAGAGATGGAAACAACCTAAACGCCCATCCATGGATGAATGGATAAACAAGTTATGGTACATTCACACAATGCTACATTAAAGAACAATGAAGGATATGCAAATCATCTCACAACATGAATGAGTCTGGAAGACATTATCCTGAGTGAAATAAGTCAATCACAGAAGGGCAAATACTGTATGAGCTCATTACTGTAAAAGGGCAAAGAAGGGTTTGCTTGAGAAAGGGAACTCACTTTGTAGATTACTGGAGTGGGGAGGGATGGGGAGGAATTAATTTTGGGCTAGTTGGGGCCACAGCTAGCGTGGATAAAGGGAGGGATGGTATGGAAAGAGTCCAGGACCACCATGACAGCATTAGGAAAAGGGAGGACACTGAATTGTGCACCTTATATATAGATGACAGGTGCTAATACCAACCAGTATATCCACAATACTGCATTACCATTAACACCAAACACCAGGCTACAGATAAACACATAAGCATCTGAGAAGATCAGATGGGGGCAGTGAATAGAGTATACTCTAGACCAAGGATAGATTCAGTGGAGGCTAATCTTGCACAGACACCAGTGATACAAAATAACCGCAATCCTTCCAGAAACAACAGAAGACAGATATAGAGTAATCCCTCATAGATAGACACTGTGGAAGAGAAATCCAATGGGTATACTGACTCAGGACCATAGTATTGGGGGACACCAGACTCAGCTGGCACGACAAAATACATAAAAGTCTTGTTCTTCATCCTACGTTGGTGAGTAGAGACTGGGGTCTTAAAAGCTTTCTAGTGGCCATCTAAGATGCAGCTAATGGTCTCCTATTGTTGGAAGCGAAGGAGAGTGCAAAAAAACAAGGGCATTTGGAAGCAATCAGCCCTAGGACACAATGGCCCTCAAGACCAGAACAACTAGATGGTGTCTGGCTACTATGCCAACTGCTCAGGAAAGGATCAAATCTGGAGATCCTGGATAGACTGGGAGGAAAAATGTGGAACAAAACCCAAAAACTCAATAATGACCATAATTACTGGTTGGATGGAGTCTGGTGAGACCCTTAATACTATGGTCCTGGGATACATTCTGGGCCTGGAATAAAGCTCATTCCCAGGGGCTGGCTCTCAGCCCAACAGTAAACAAGATGTACATGCAGACCACTGAACCCAGGGTAACACACCCACATACTCTATGGAAATGCATCCCTTGGAGCAATCGACCACGGGGCACCAGAGGGGCAACATTCACACAGAGGAAATGCAGGACACACAGGAGTGCATAACTGTGAGGCACACCAGGGGAGGCTTACTGAGCAAGGAGGGGAGGAGACTAGTTTAGGGTTGGGGATGGTAAATGGGGAGTGAAACTAAATGTACATGTAATGTGGAATATAAAACAAACTCTTAAAATAAAAAATTTTTTAAAAAGTACTTGATTTATTGGTGGTGCTATTTTGCATACAGATGTTACCACCTCACGCCAAGGATTAGCAGGGCCCTCTTTACTAATGGAGACAGGGTCACCAATGCCTTTACCAGGGTCACCAAAACAGAATTGGTGAGAACCAATTTAGGAAGCCCATCTTTATGAGTTTGTCTCTCTGGAACCACTCCTGATATCAAATGTGTTAGGCTGGGTTCTCTAGAGAAGCAAAACCAGTAAACCTTATATATACATATAGAGAAAGAGAAATTTATCTTAGGAAAATGGCTCACACACTTACAGAAGCTGGCAAGTCCCAAGTTCTTGGAACAAATGTCAAGCTGGAGGCTTTTCCCGACTCACACAGCTGCAGCGGCTGACGAGCTCAAGGTTGGCAGGCGGTATACTGGCTGTTGACTCCAAGGAATGACGAATCCAAGATCTCCAGGCCGAATGGTGGATCGTTCGCTCACAGACAGTTGTAGGCAGCACAACAGGATCCCAGTCCACAGAAGTATGTTGCATTTTCCCAGGATGTCCATAAATATATTGGAAACAGACCACACCCCTAAGGAAACTCCTTTTCAATGGATTGACTGCTCAAAATATATACATCCGATCCCATCATGGGAATAACCCACATCACAATTGCTTAAACCACACAGAATTGTGGTCCAGCCAAGTTGACACACAGCTCCAACTATCAAAAGGTTTCCTGTGGGAGGTGGTGGTAGGAGAGACAAGGGGATTGCTTCTCAGCCAGGGCATCTTGCAGAGGGACACTCTGCCCTTCTCCTGGTCCTGTTCTAACCTTCCTTTAACCTTGACCCCCCCTCCTATAGAATCACTGCTGGATGATTCTGGGTGGGCTTGGGGAGGCATATGTGATTAAGAGCGGCAGAGTGACTGAAGGTATGATTTCCTGTGTTCCCTTCCCTACTCCTAGGTTCATTTGGCGGACAGTGACACCACGTGACAAGCCCATGGGGCCACTTCTGGTGGCCACATTCTGGCCTGAGCTCCCGGATAAGATCGATGCTGTGTATGAGGCCCCACAGGAGGAGAAGGCTGTGTTCTTTGCAGGTGTTTGGAAGGGTTCTGCCTTGGCCCTCAGCCGCATGGGTTCTGCACCAGAGCTCCTGCCTCCCAGGCCCACTCCCTCTCACAGGCCATGTTCCCCCTGCACCTGTGGGTCATCCTCCTCCATATGATCACTCATTAAGCCATCCTTTCTAAAGCACAGTATTCATCTGGGAGATAGGTTCAGAGACCCAGTATCAAATAGCATCACCCACATAGCAGACATCTGGTTTCCTTTTCTTTTTCAAGCCTTCTGATTCCTTGTCTAGAAGAAACATCTCAGTTTAGTGTTTGTGTGTTTCTAACCCTTTAATGCTAGAGCCTTTGACAGGCAAGAGCTTCAGTTAGAATTTTGTTTTTTAGTTAGAATTTTTTAAAAGTCACTTATTTACATTTTTAATTTTTAATATCAATTTATATTTAAATTTCAAACAGTTTCAAAATGAATTTGTTGAAAGCAAAATAGTAAGTAAATAATGGTAGAAAGAGAATCTAGAAATGGTGAAAATCATTAAGGTAGTATTCATATAAGACCTGGTGGTCAACAGTTTGCTCTGCACTGCTAACCTAAAGGCTGCCAATTCAAATCCACCCAGACCTAGAAAACTGCTTCTGAAAAGATTACAGCTAAGAACACCCTATGGAGCAGTTCTACTCTATTAACACCTGGGGTCGCCAGGAGTCGGGGGTCGACTTGATGGCAGCCAACGATAAGGAGTGTTCATATGGCTTAAGGCTGGGAAATGCTGCTTATGCAATGTTAATGTGAGCATCCACAATTGCTGGGCTTTGCTGGGCACTGGGATACAGGCCCTGCCTTAATGGAGCTCACATGTTTGTAAGGGAGACAAGCTGTTGACAGGGAGTATAGTAAGGTGATTGACTGAAGGGGGAGCCCTTGCCTGGTTTTAGCTGGGAGCACAAGGAAGGCTTCCTAGAGGAGCTGAAGGCACAACCAAGACTGTGGGTACCTGTTGTTCCACCTAGCCAGCTCCCCATTTCCTCCAGCCCTTATTACTATTCTCTGCTCCTGGACTTTCTAAACTCTCTGTCCCCAGCTTAGATGGTCATGCACCCTGGCCAGGGGAGTTGCTAGCCCTCAGGACACCTTCGTGCCAATTAGGAAAAGGTGGCTCTTCTGGTGTACCCAGAGCACATGGGTGCATGGCTTGGTGAGTGAAGCCTGAGTAGGACTGCCTCCCCTCCTCTTCTCCTTGGCTGGCACCTTCTATAACCACATGTACATTCACTTGTGTGAGCCCAGTCCCCTGAATATGTGCAGAGTGAGCAGGAGCCTGTGTCCCTGCTGAGAATGGCCTCAGGGGCTCCTCTGGCAGACAGATGATGGGAGGAACAGGCTGGCCCGGAGGACTTCAGCACGCCACCAACACGGTATGTTCCTTTGCTTCCACCATAGGGAACGAGTATTGGGTCTATTCGGCTAGCACTCTGGAGCGTGGGTACCCCAAGCCACTGACCAGCCTGGGGCTACCCCCTGATGTCCAAAGAGTGGATGCTGCCTTTAACTGGAGTAAGAACAAGAAGACATACATCTTTGCTGGGGACAAGTTCTGGAGGTAAGGCATGGGGTGGCTGTGTAGAAATTGGTGAGGACATGTTGTGGCTTCATCCCTCCTGGGTCACATTTGGAGACTGGTGGATCATGGATGCCCTTCCTCTGGCCTCTAACCTGCCAGGGCCATAGCCCCTCTGAAGAGCCACCAAAGGATGACCCATTCTTGTGCACATTGCTTGTACAATTCTGGTAGACTCCCTTCTCCTTTCTCAGAAGTCTTTTGATTGTGCCCATGTCTGTCTGGGCTGGAGCCTCACATTTTGGGCTCCTCATTAAAGGAAAAAAAAAATTAGTTATCATCAAGGCATTTCTGACTCATGGCAATCCCATGTGTGTCAGAATAAAACTGTGCTCCACAGGGTTTTTAATGGCTTTAGTAAAATTTTTTATTGTGACGTGGGTGAAAGTTTACAGAGCAAATTCACTTTCCATACAGCAGTTCATACACATTTTGTCTCATGACATTGACTGTGATTCTCCACAGTGTAACAGTTCTCTTCCCACTTCATCCCTGCAGTTACCTCTTCCCTGTGTCTTTCCCTCCCATGCACTCCCACCCCCTGAGCTGTCTCCCTGTGTAAACACTGCCCTTCAGTTCTCCCACGATTGATTGCTCCAAGGAGTGTGTCTGTCTGATGTAAATGTTCACCCCATATGCCTGTCTATTGTTTGGCTGGAAACTACAGGAATGAGTTCAGTTCCACACCTGAAGGGCAGCTTGGGGCCGTAGTCTCAGGGGTCTCACCAGGCTCTATCAGATCAGCAAACCTGGTCTTTTTTTTTTTTTTATGGCTTTGCTTTTTTCCATGTTGTTCTCCCACTCTAACCAGTATCTCCTGCACAGATCCCCCTCCATGAGGTTGACAGTGGTCAACAATGGCTGATTTTTTGGAAGTAGATCATTGTTGTTATGTGCCATGGAGTCGGACCCAACTCATAGTGACCCCTCCTTGGGTTTCCAAGGCAGTATCACTGTGGAAATAGATTGCCCCATCTTCCTTCTGAGGAGTGGCTGGTGGGTTTGAACCGCCAGCCTTCTGATTAGTAGTCAAGTGCCTTATAGGCACTACGCCACCAGTAGACAGCAGGTCTTTTTTCTGAGGCACCTCTGGGGGACTCGAACTCCCAACCTTTCAGTCAGCAGCCAAGCATGTTAACCTTGTACCACCCAGGTGCGATAATAAGCCTCAATAAGTCTTTATTACTCTCACTGAAGAAGAAAGTAATACAAAATGAGTTATCTGGTACTATGGACACAATGTGCCAGACACTATCCCAGGAGTTCTGTGAGGCAGATATTATTATCCTCAATCACATTTTACAGATGAGGAAAGCTGGGTTCAGAAACGTTAACTAGCTGAAAGTCACATAGCCAGATAATGGCCGACTGCACTCTAGCTCCCAGAGAACATGTTAATCCTCACTGTATTCTAGTGTACCGGGATAGTGGGTCCCAAGAGATGGGGTGGTAGAGGCAGGGATGGCAGAGAGTGAAATATGGTGAAGACTGAGATGGGTACACCAGCACACCACAGGCCCAAATCAGGCCATTGAGAGCACTGTCATTGAGCCTCTGGTACCTGCAGCAGGCCCCATGGCTGTGGGCACAGACTGGCAGAGGGGCAGTTTAGAAGTAGGCAGCTCTTTGCTCCAAGTCACCTAAAGGGAAGGATCTAGCTCTGAGAGGCCATGGCCAGGGTTAAGGGGTCAGATAGGAAAAGGTCCAAAACTCAGAAGTTTGATTGTAATTTTCCCATTATCTAGATGGGAAAATTGAGGTCCAAAGAAGTTACATAACTTGTTTAAGATGATGCAATGCGTTGGTCACAAAGTTGGGATTATAACTGCTTCTCCTGTCTTCTAGCCCAGTGCCCCCTCCACTATATCCTCAGGGTCATAGGTCCATGGGAAAGAGGTGGTGGGTGTAGTGAAGCCTTTGGGGGTGTCTCTCACCTCCCACATTCCTTCTGGGGCTGTCCCTGCATCTGGGTCCTCCTGGGCACTACTCCTTCAGACCTTTGTCTGCCATCTCTAAACTAATTCAGCCTTGTTCCCAAGACTTCTCCCCCGCCCTCCACAGCTGCCCTGTATTCAGAAGCTGTTTATGTCCCAGGCTGCCTGTGTCAGGGTGGAATTCCAGACATATTGCTAAGACACTTAACAACTTAAGCTGATTGATATCTCAAGCCGCAAGAAAGAAAACAGGCAGCCAGGAAACCAGGGAACGAGCTTTCCGCCCACAGGCTCCGGAGTCCTCACAGGCATGTAACATACTGCAAATGGCATCCTGGCATTGTCCACTCCAAGTCGCCGAAACTTAAATCATGGTCTGAGAGTCACAGAAGCACAGAAGCTTGGATCTTAGAATCATAACACCCTGCACTTTGAATTATGAATGCATCTCATATTCGCCCTTCAACACACCCTCAGGTGTCTCCATACATGTCCATGTGTGAAAATGACCGTGCGTGCACACACACTGACACACACTTTGACATTCAGGCAGTGTCTTGCTGCATTTCTGGGCAGACTTATTTGCCTTCCTGTCTTTTCTGCAACAAGCCCACCTCCCAAAGCCAGGGGACAGCCTCCTGTACAGAAGAATCGGTGAGACTTGCTTAAGAGGAACAGCTCTGCAGGGCTTATGGGAGGTTCTTGAGCCCAGTTCCCAAAGGAGAACTGCTAGGCAAAGTGGTTAATGAACTTGATAAACTGGCCCTGGTATGGTATCCACAGGAGTCCCTGGGTGGTGCAGACATTAACTCTCTTGGCTGCTAACTGATAGGCTGGAGATTCGAGTCCACTGAGAGGCACTTCAGAAGAAAGGCCTAGTGATCTACGATCAAAATATCAGCCCCGGTGGTGCGACAGTTAAGCGCTCGACTGCTAACTGAAAGGTTGGCAGTTCAAACCCACCTAGTGGCTCTGGGGGAGAGAGACCTGGTGATCTGCTCCCATAAAGATTAAAGCTTAGAAACCCCTATGGGGCATTTCTGCTCTGTCACATGGGGTTGGTATGAGTCAAAATCAACTTGCTAATGCCTAACAACGATAACGGCAAGGACAAGACATCCTTGCTGGAGAAGGAAAGTACTGGAGGGCTGGAAGATGAACAGCTGCCTCCAGCCTGGGTATCCCTCCAGCTCATGCATTTGCTTTTGGAAGTTTCCACTAAGTCCACAAATATATATTCAACATCTGTGCACTGGGCATTTAGGTTGGTGCTAGGGAGACAGTGGATAGGGAATAGTCATTTCCTGTCCTCAGGGAGCTTAATGGAAGAGTGGAGGAAAGAGACAAAAGCCATATTTGAGTGAAATAATCATGATTGTCATTGAGCAGAGCTGGGCCATGTCCCAGGCCTGAGGCTGTGAACTTCACCTGGGTTTCTCAGTATCATAGCCCCATTTTCCGGATGTGGAAATAGGCTCAAGTGACTCAAGGATACACAAGTGTCCCCACTGAGACACAGGATGTCTCTGTTTGCAATGCCTGCTCTCCACTGCATCTGTACAGCTGCAGAGAATACAGCGTGTCATGGAGACACCTTTCAGGAACCAGCACGGGGAAAACATTGGAGGAGGGGAGAGGAGGGTACAGAGAGGAAAGAGAAAAGGGGGTGGCCTGTTCAGAGCCAGCGTCGCTGATGTCATGATACTCCAGGAAGAGAACTTGGAAGCAAATTGCTTCACTTCTCTGAACCTCAGTTTCCTCGTTTATAGCATGAGATAGGATTAGAAAGAAATTAAGAGAAGTTCAAGCATGAGGCACACACCTATGAGGCCTCATAACTAGGGATTGTAGTGGAGGTGACGTACATGGGAGTGTTGGGTTATGAGCTGGGGATCTTGGGTTAGGTCACCCAGGTCATGAAGAAGTACATTAAGTTTTATAAGAAGAAGTTTTATGCTGCAGCTGGGACTATGTTCCTGGGGTGGAGGGCTAAGGAGGAAGATTCTTGTGGCAGGGAGTCCCCAGGGGGCTTTTACTGGAGTCCAGGATGGAGATAGTGGCATTGACTGTGAGGAACAAGAGAGCCAATTATGAGAATCTGTAGAGGACAGCTTGGCTGTCACCAGGATGGGATCATACACAGAGTTATGTAAAAATTATCTCCATGAGGGCAAAACTTTATCTTGCTTACCATGGTATCTGCAGGCACATAGTGAGAACTCATTAATTATAGAATAATATATAAAAGCCAAACCAAACTCACTGCCATCAAGTTGATTCCAACTTATAGCAACCCCCATTGGGTTTCCAAACCTGTAAATCTTTATGGAAGCAGACTGCCTCATCTTTCTTCTGCCGAGCACCTGGTGAGTTCAAACCACTGACCTTTTAGTCAGCCAAATGCCTTAACCACTACATCACCAGAACTCTTTAGAAAAATAAATATGTTATATATATTAATATTTGTAGAATAACAAATACATTGAGTATAAGTGAAGAAGCAAAGGTATAAAAATGATAGCAACATCTAAAAAATTCTCTGAAAATTAAAAAAGACAGAGGTATTGCTAGCCAGGGAGAACACACTAATTCATGCCTAAGGTGTTACCCGGAAGTAAAGGAGGGGCACAGGATAACTTCACACCCGAAGAGCTGAAGCCAGGATGAAGGTGGCAGCAGGTCCACCTTATGACTCACAGGCCTGTAGATTCTCACACACCACCTGGCTATTGTACATGAAGTTTGTTCCATGAGTCAAAGTCAGCTCAACAACATAGCTCTTATGCTGTCATTCAGTACATGCAGCAACCCCATTTTACTGCTAGTGAAAATGAGGCTTGGGTAGAATGGCTGCCCTGGAGCCAGACAGGCCTGAGTTGTACTACCACTTACAAGCTGGGTACCCTTTCTAAGACTCTGGTCTATAAAATGGGATTATGGTAATAACTGGGTCATAGGATTGTCATAAGGCTTGCATGAGAAAGTATATAGCAAGTGCTTAACACATGCCTGGCATGTAGAAAGTGCTTCTTAAATGTTTGCTGTTATTCCAGATTATTTTTATGTGACTGCCCAAAGTCACATGGACAATCAAAATTAGTAAGTGGTCAAGCGGAGACTCAGACCCAGGTCTGACTCCATGCCTTTTCCACAATAGCTGGCTACCACTCTGAAGAGCCAGGTCTCTCTTCCCAGCTCTACCCAGGAGCCATCTACTGGGCCTTCCCGTGCTAGGATTGGAGGGAGGTGGCTTGTAGAGAGGCAGGCTGGTTCACCATGTCCCTTTCCCATTTCCTTGCAGATACAATGAAGTGAAGAAGAAAATGGATCCTGGCTTCCCCAAGCTCATCGCAGACGCCTGGAACGCCATCCCCGATAACCTGGATGCTGTTGTGGACCTGCAGGGTGGGGGTGAGTTGCCCAGGGCCTTCTCTGCTTTCTAGGGCTCCCCTCCTCCAGCCAGGGCCTGGCTCCTCACAGGCACACACTCCCTCATTGTGTGTGGAAGGCCTGTGGCAGCCCCAGAAAAACAAGCCAGCCCCTTCAGCCCAGTGCTGGGCAGGCATCCAGCCCCTGACCTCTGCTCCTCAGCCCAGCTCCAGGCAGTAAAACCCAGAAAGGCCCCTCACAGCTGCTGGGCCTAGAGCCAGGGAGGGGGAAGGCAGGAGGAGGCCTGCAGGGGTGAGGAACATGGCCCCATGCCCTGGATTCATTCTGGTGTTTAACCCAGGCCCTTTGGGATTCCACAGGAGGCCCGTGACTGCCTCCCATTAGCAGAGGATGTCCACATTTGAGACAGGACAAACTTTGTCATGCTTTGTTGCTGCTGTGGCAAAGATCCCCCTTGCAACTCATTTGTTCCTGGTCTCTCGTTGAATAAAACACAGCCAGTAAAAGTGAGGGATAGAATTTGGGATTTTAGGACCATATTCCCTAGAAGACTTTTCTGGGTTCTTGAGGAGTCTGGAAATGAGTCTGGTTTGGCTTTTTAGAGGAGAAATCAATGTTTTTTTTTTTTTTTTTTTTAACCCTATGCTAAGGACAACATACATAGCCTTGACCCTAGTAGCTAAAAGTTTTACAGTGCTCAAAAAAGCTCAGTACACAATCTAGGGCTGGGTTGAGAACCATCTTCAAGAATAACCTTCTATTGTGCACCTACTATGTGCCCCATTTTAAAAGAAGTAAATAAGATTAGGTATACCAGGACTCATAAATTCCAGCTCTGGTGATGTAGAGGTTAAGGCATTTGGCTGCTAACTGAAAGGTCAATGGTTCAAACCCACCAGCTGCTCCATGGAAGAAAGATGAAGCAATCTGCTTCCATGAAGACTTGCAGCCTTGGAAATCCAGTGGGTGTCACTATGAGCTGGAATTGACTCAATGGCAGTGAGTTTGGTTTTGAGTTATAGAGGCCAGAAGGAACTCTAGTGGTGCTATGGTTAAAGCATTGGGCTACTAACCAAAAGGTCAGCAGTTTGAACCCACCAGCTGCTTCAGGGCAGAAAGATGTGGCAGTCTGCTTCTGTACAGATTTGCAGCCTTGCAAACCCTATGGGGCAGGTCTCCTCTCTCCTATTAGGTTACTATGAGTTGGACTCAACAAACTCGATGGTTTGTTTATTTTGTTTATAGAGGCCAGGCAGGTATCAAAATGAGTGAAGCAGGCAAGGGCAGACAATAGGGAATGGTGGGGTCTGTGGTTAATCAGAGCACATCTACAGGGGACAGTTGCTTTTCAGCTTCTTCTGATTGGTGCCCTGCAAGAATGTGAACCCAGCATTGTGACATGGTCTTGTTGTTTCAAGGAGAAGCCAGAATTCTATATTTTCACAAGAAATTTGCAGATATTTATGTTAGCTACTTCCTCAGAATTAAAATAAAATAACAACAACAACAAATGATAAACCAGATAAAGGAGCCCTGATGGCACAGTGGTTAAGTGCTTGGCTGGTAACCGAAAGGTTGGAGTTTACACCCACCAGCTGTGCCACAGGAGAAAGATGAACCAGTCTGCTTTTATGGGGTAGTTCAACTCTATCCTATTGGGTTGCAATGAGTTGGAATTGACTCAGTGGCAATGGGTAAGCCACATAAAACACTCATCTGTTGACCTGCTAGTATGTGAAGCCTACTGGTTTGCCACCTCTAATCATATAAAGTGCTTGTGCTAAGTGGGGTGCTGTTACTATTATTAACAGCATGTATTATCTTCTTTGGAAACCCAAGGAGGGGTCGCTATGAGTCAGGACCGACTCAACGGCAAATAACAACAACAACATTATCTTCTTAATCCCTACCACAAGCCCTGGAGGTTGATATCTTTATCACATCTTAGAGAACAAGAAACAGGAACTTAAAAGGCTTATTTCGCCGGCTGTTGCCCCTCCCCCAACCCCAGAGGAGGTCTTTTCTTGTTTGAAAGCTTCTTCCTTATGCAGACATTCAGAGCTGCTGGGAGGCTTAGGTGCTTGAGAATACCTGAGGATGGGTGGTCACCCAGTCCTCTCCTTTCTCTGTCTTAGGTCACAGCTACTTCTTCAAGGGAGCATATTACCTGAAGCTGGAGAACCAAAGTCTGAAGAGTGTCAAGTTTGGAAGCATCAAATCCGACTGGCTAGGCTGCTGAGCTGGCCCTGGCTCCTGCAGGCCCTCCCCACTCCATCACCTTCCATACGTCGGGCCCTGAGCACCAGGGAAGGACCCGGATGGGCCTGGCAGCCTCAACCACAGCCCTGTAGTTAACCAGCAGTCTCACCTCCACCTGGTAATTTAAGATTCTGGAGAGTGGCCCCACCCTGGGCCTAAAGAAAGGTGCTGACCATACCCATTCCAGATGCTCCTTCTCCCTCCAGTCCCACCAGCCCTAAAGAGCCACCTCCAAAGAGATGCTTTGATATTCTCAATGCAGCCCTGCCTAGGGCTGTCCTGGTGCTGCCCCCACTTCAAGGTCTTTTCCCTTCACAATCTTCTGTGGCTCTCAGAACCCTCAGAGCCAACAGAGACTGTCTCGAGAGGCCACTGGTGGCCTGACAGCATGGTCTGGCATGGGACAGTGGGATAGGGGCATGGCCAGGTGGCCACCCCAGACACCTGGCTTCTTACTGCCGGCTGCCTTAGAACCTTCCAGACATCAGCGCTTTTTATGCACTTTGTTCTTTATTTTGACCATTGTGTGTTTCCACTTTGAAACTGCATTTTCCTGACAGAAGGACTCAGGTTGTCTGCAGTCACTGCACGATGCATCTCTGCCCACGTAGCGATGGTTCCCTTGTTCACTCTATTTAGTGTGTCCCTACCCCATCACTTCCTCCACTGGATGGAGGGAAACCAAGCCATGGCTCCCTGCTCAGCCCTCCCCTCCTCTTCCTTCAACAGTTCCCCATGGGAAATGTCAACAAATATGTAATAAAGACACCATTTGAGTGGCAGTGTTTGCCAACTGATTTAGCGGAGTCCAGAGAGGGCCACCGCCTTAGCCACAAAAGGAAGCTTAAAAGATCCACATCTCTGCTTCCCTGCAAAGCACAGGGAAGCAGAGATCTCTGCATAAAAGATCCAGAAAACCAAACCCACTGCCGTGGGGTGGATTCCAACTCACAGCAACCCTTATAGGATAGAGTAGATCTGCCTCTTAGGGTTCCCAAGGCTGTAAATCCCCGTGGAAGCAGAGTGCTTCATCTTTCTCCTGTGGAGCAGCTGGCAGATTTGAACCACTGACCTTTCAGTTCACAGCTGAGTGCTCTAACCACTGTGCCACCAGGGCTCCTTCTGAAAAGACCAAATGAAACTAAACACACTGCCATCGAGTCAGATCCAACTCAGCAACCCTTTCTTGGGCTTCTGAGGCAGTATCACTATGGAAGTAGATTGACCAAACTTCCTTCTGAGGAGTGGCTGGTGAGTTTGAACTGCCAGCCTTCTGGTTAGCAGTCAAATGCTTTAGGCACTACGCCACCAGAGCTCCTCCTGAAAAGATCAGAGGTGCAAAAAAAAAAGAAAAAAGGACCCTTGGGGTAGGTAAGTTGGAGCACTTCTCAATCCTATTACTTGAGTTGTGGGGTCCTGCTCAAGATCCCCTTTCTCTCTGAGTGTCAGTTTCTTCATGACTGCTTCTAATGCTACCGCTGCTAACATTGACCAGCAGCAGTCATACCCCATCCCGGTCAGTGAGGAGTCCCTGTGAGGTGCGAATGGTTAATGGGCTTGGTTGATGGAATCCACCCAAAGGTGACTGGGAGGAAAGGCCTGGTGACCGACTTCTGACAACTCAGCCACGACGTCACTACAAGTCAGAGGCAACTCCATGGTGACTTTTTTCCTTCATTAAAAGAGTGCTTACTATATGGCCAGGCACTTTACTGGTATCACTTAATCTAACCTAAAGAGGGAGATATTATTAACTGCGTTTTATCTGAGGGCCAGAGAAAAGGGATTTATTTGCTCAGTGTCCCATAGCTATTAGGTAACAGAGCCCAAGTCAAAGCCAAAGGGTGACCTAGAGGAGGATGTTTAGCCCTCTGCTCATTATCTCCATCAGCAGCATTGCCCATTCCCATTGCCAAAGGCACCTCAAGTGAACACTCAGGGGAGAAATGTGTGTGTGCTTCCTGAACCCAGCTTCAATTAAAGGATAAGCTCTATGATTCTTCCAATCAGACTGCCCACTCTGAATCCCTTGCTACACAGAAATTCTGGAGCTGCTGAACTGAGATTTAAAAGCAAAAGGGTTTTCAAAGGCCCCTTCCAGCTCTGACAGCCTTGCTTCAAGCCTTTCATTGTGAGTAGAAGAGGGTGGGGAGTGGGCAGGACTCAGATGGCCTTGGTGAGCCTGAACTCATCTCCTCCTGTGGCCTGCCCACTGGCTCCTGTCCTTAAGGACCTTGGAGAGACAACCTTCTGTTCTGGTATCAGGCTAAAAAGTTATAATGTCTGCTAGCCCCCAGGCTTATGATGAAGCTTATATTGCAGCTTTAATACACTGTTGTTAAATTTCTCTGTAAGAAGCAACTGCTAACCAAAAGGCTGGTGGTTGAAAACCACCTGGCCATTCTGCTTCCTTAAAGGTTATAGCCAAGAAAAACCCAGTTCTACTCTGTCACAGGGGTCGCTGTGAGTCAGAATTCTACTGAGTCATCAGTAGAACTCAACAACAAATTTCTATTGTTGTTGAGAGAAAATCCAGCTGTTCCACAACATAAAGGTGTGATTTCTCATGGCCTTTCTATGAACACTACACATACATTTTATTTAATCCTCACTGTAACCTTACAGTGGAGCTCTGGTGTAGTGGATAAGGCACTTGACTACTAACTGGAAGATCAGTGGTTCATACCCACCAGCTGCTCCACAGAGAGAAGACGGGCGATCTACTTCTGTAAAGATTTATAGCCTTGGAAACCCAGTGGGGGTCGCTATGAGTCAGAAATGACTTGATGGCAGTGAGTTTTGTTTTGTTTTTTTTTGGGTAACCTTACAGGGTAGGAATAACTCTTGTTCCAGCTCTTAGATAAAGAAACAAGCTCAGAGAAGTTAAGTGACTAGCTTAAGGTCGCACTGTGATCTGGTAGGGTTAGAAAAGTCAGAGATTCTACAGTGGACAAGTCTGGAGGAGAAGCTGCCCCAGAGCCTGGGCTTAGATTCTCAATCTGGCCTCCAACCTGTCTCTGTGAACAGACTTGTTCAGTAAGGATGGGTTTTTCACCATCTCTATCCTCTGACACTCATCCAGGTATAGGGCTTGACCAATTAGTCTCAGGTGCTGGGACAACCCCTGTTTCCCTTCCCACCTCATGACCAGACAGGCCCTTGAACTTCCCCAGGGTGAAATGGAACCACAGTCCAAATGATTTCCCTTTTCTGGGCCAGGTTCCTCATCTGGTGTGGAAGACATCTGTTGTTTCTGCCTTTTTCTGGTGCTAGCTCAGTACCTTTGGAGAACCATCTCTCCACTCAGTCCATGTGTTCCAAGCAAGACAGAGTCAACTTCTGGTGCCAGTTTCTATATTAGTCAAAACTCTTAGCTGTACACCGTAAAAACTCAAACTGGTTTAAGCAAAAACAAAACACACTGGAAATGAAACAGCTAAAACACACAAAACCCAGAAGCTCTGGTAGCACAGAGGCTATAACACTTGACTGCTAACCAGAAGGCTGGTGGTTCAAACCCACCAGCCACTCCTCGGAAGGAAGATGAGGCAATCTACTTCCATCGTGATACTGCCTTGGAAACCCAAGGAGGGGTCGCTATGAGTCGGGTGCAACTTGACAGCACATAACAACAACAACAACAACAATGGAACAATTCTGGTGACATAGTGGGTAACACATTTGGTTGCTAAACAGAAGGTCGGTGCTTCAAACTCACCATGTGCTCCACTGAAGGAAGATGAGGCAATATACTTCCGTAAATATTTATAGCCTTGGAAACCAAATGGGGGTCGCTATGAGTCAGAACTAACTCGATGGCAGTGGGTTCAGTTTTTCATTTTTAACGGAACAGTTGGGAAGTAGTGGCTGCACCTGTCCAGATTCTCTGATCTTTAAGTTGCATGAATCCCAATGTCTGGAAGCCGGCTGTTTTTTTTTTTTTTTTTTTGTACCAACCTAGTGGGCAAATCCATCTAAAACTGAGCAGAGTTTTCCCTTGGACCTGATCTACTAGAAAGTGATGCTGGGTTATTTGAAGCCCTTGTCCTGTTGGGCCCATATGTCCAGTTTATAGGGTCTTGCATTTTTTTCTGTGGCAGTAATGGGGAAGTAAAACCTTATAGGGGCTGCAGTCTGAAGCATAGTATGTCCCTGAGTGGTGCAGACAACACTCTTGACTGCTAACTGAAAGGCTGGCAGTTGGACCCACCCAGAGAAACCTGAGAAGAAAGACCTGATATTCTGCTTCCAAACAATTAGCCGTTTGAAACCCTATGGAGCACAGTTCTACTCTAACAGACAGGAGGTCACCATGAGTCCAAGTAGATGCCACGTCAATGGTTTGGTTTTTTAAGAGGCTCTTCATTTGCAGGGGGAACCTCTGTAGAACAAAGGATAAAGATTTAGGTGGCTAAAATCCGAGGAAGAGCAAAGGCCCTGGCCTTTGGCCCACTTTCTCTGCTTCTCTGGAACTTTTACCCACCCTCAAAGTCTTCTGTCTAAATCAAGGAGAAGGAAGAACAGGTGGAGAGAAGAGACCGCAACAAGAAGTTCTAGGCAATTCCTTCTGACAAGGGATACAGGAATGGCGGTTTCTGGGGGCAATGGGCTATCATTGATATTGGAGAAACAGGTGGCAACTACCATTTGTCCAATGTCTTCCACATGGCCTGCCTGTGTAAACATTATAATTTATGCCTGTGATCCTCTGAATGATCTTGTTTTTACAGAACAACCAACTAAGGCTCATAGCGATGGTGATTTGGCCGCAGGGCAAATAAATTGCCCAGTCTTCCTTCCTAGGAGTGGCTAGTGGATTTGAACAGCCAGCCTTCTGGTTGGCAAATACCTTAGGCACTATGCCACCAGAGTTGCCATAAAATATATTGTTGTTGTTATGTGCCATCAAGTCAGACCTGACTTATAGCGACCCCTCCTTGGGTTTCCGAGACCCTATCACTACGGAAGTAGGTCGCCTCATCTTCCTTCCGAGGAGTGGCTGGTGGGTTTGAACCACCAGACTTCTGATTAGCAGTCAAGTGCCTTAGGCACTACGCTATCAGAGCTCCCATAAAATATATTGGCAATCTATAAAGCAGAGAACTCTGCCTCAATTGTCTCCAATGGGGCAGTGGGAATACCGAGTTATCCTTACAGTCATTGCACTGAAGGAAAAACACCCATCTCCAAGGCGAAAAACTGTATTAGCAAGAAGGAAGAACCAGATTACGAAAAGATTGGGGCTAACACTCAGGGGGTGGGGTTAGAAGCTGGGGTGGAGTCAGCGCCCAGGGGGCGAGGCCAGACCAGCCGGGCGTCTAGGTAACTCTGGCGCCTGCGCATAGGCCCTGGAGCGGAGCCTTAGGCTGGGACTCTTGTGCGCTGGGACTCTCGTGGGACTCCTACTCGTTCGGGTTCCCAGTTAGTGCTTCACTGCAGCGCTCGCTCCCGCGCTCCGTGCCCATCCTTTGGTGGGGTCTGACGCCCAGCTCAGCCATGAACAGGTGCGCCGAGGCGGCAGCAGTGGCGGCCACCGTGCCAGGCGCGGGAGTCGGAGATGCCGGGCTGCGGCCGCCCATGGTGCCTCGCCAGGCGTCCTTCTTCCCGCCGCCCGTGCCCAACCCCTTCGTGCAACAGACGCAGATCGGCGCGGCAAGCCGGCTTCAGGTGGAAGGGTTGGGGCTGAGTGGGGTGGCCAATGGGGTGTGGAGTTGATAAGCTAGGTGGTCTGAGGGTAGTGTGAGGCCGAGAGGGGAGGTGGTCCTCAGGGGGCGTGGTCAGAGAGGGGAGATGGACACCAGGGGGCGTGGTCAGAGAGGAGAGGTGGTCTTCGGAGGGCGTGGTCAGAGAAGGGAAGTGGTCCTCGGGGGGCGTGGTCAGAGAGGGGAGGTGGTCTGAGCGGCGCGAGGGCCTAATAGGGGTTTATGAAGGGGACGTGGTTAGACCGAGGAGGCGGTTCTGGGAGAAGACTTGGTCTGAGGGGGGCGTGGACGGCTTAAGGTGGAAGTGGAGGATGTGTGTATGGGAACTAAAGTCGTCTGAGGGAGAAGGGGATGTAGGTCTGAGAAGAGGGCTTCTGAGGGGGCCACGGGTTTGAAAGCGGCAGAGATGGATCTGAGAATTGAGGACACTTGGGGCATGGTCTGAGGGGGAGTGTGAGAAGAGAAGATGCAGAGATGTGGGTATGGGAGGGTGGCATGAGCCTGCCAGTGGCTGAGGAGATTTCCATGTCTGTGAAGGGGGAATTAATCTATGAGAGGAACTTGAACTTGAGTTTGAGAGACTGTAGGCGTAGACCTACCACAAGCGAGTAGGTTTGGGGAAGTCTTCTTTGCCTTAGGGAAGGAATGGAGTCAGTCTGGGGTGGGAAAAGTGAGAGAGAAGGAGAGAGCCTAGGGCTGGAGTTAGGACAACAGGTAAGGCAGGGACAATGTAGCTGAGCAGGGGCATGGAGAGTAGGAAATCAGAATCAAAGAAAAGGGATAACTGTGAGTCAGCTTAAAGTGTTCAAGAGTTGTCAGTCTTAAATCAGTCTCCAGTGAAGCACTTCTAGATTCCAGGATCTACCTGGATCTACCACGCAGACTTTCCTCCACTGTTAAAAATGGCTACATACGTAAGTGGAGTTTCCTTTCCTTTCTTATTTCTTGCGAAGGGCAGCTATTACCATTAGCAATTACTCTTATGCTTTGGACTTCCTCTGTGGTGAAATTAGTGATTAGAGAACAAGATAGGCTATGCAAGCCACATTTGTCCTGTGGGTTTTGCTTGGGGAAAAAAAAAATGGTTCTGATGTTTTCCTGTCCATCTCACACATTTCTTTACTTGGAAATGAAGTGGTGTAAATTTTGCACAGCATGCTTGAATGCTCTGAGACCCTTGTTCACTACAGTGGGGTCTGGTGGAGTACTGGACTAAATAGCTGTAATATATACCACAGGGAGGTGGTGAGTAGAGTAATGGTGGGTGAGTGGCTAGAGGAAGGGGAAGAGGGTGAGAGAGGAAGAAGATAAGGAATGAGGTAATACCTCTTTTAAGAAACCCAAAGTTTACAATGTTGATCTTCATGTCTTTAAATAGATAAATGTTCCCCTTGGGTCTTAAAACTTTTGAAGCTTTTCTAAACATATCGGCCAGTCAAGATTAAATTTCATCTTAGTTAGCCAAATCAGTCATACTTAAATGAAAATATGTCCATCTACTTGGCTTCATATTATAGAGGGAGGATCAAAATAGCAAGTTTATAAATATATTGGACACAGAGTGAATTATTAAGATTTTTATAGCATGGCCTGTTATTGTTTAGAGAATACTTCCAAATAACTGTATGAGAGCTATAGTATAATGGAATGATCACTAGTTTTAGTCATAAGGCCTAGTCAGACCATTTACTAGTTTTATGACTTAACCTTAGCCAAGTCACTTGACCTCTCTGAGCTTCACTTTCCTCATCTATTAAATTAGAATAATTATAATTCAAGGGAGGGTTATAATGAAATGAAGTATTGTGCAAAAGGGTTTGCTATTGCTTGCTGGTCTTAATATTAATAGTTATTTTGTCCTACTTGTTGCTTACAAATTACATACTGTACTTAAAATTTACTACTTGGATTGAATGGGATAGCACACGGTCTGACTAGTAAAAAATAAAAAGAATACATGTAGACCAAAGAGGTTTCAGCAGCTTGAATGGTTTGGGTAAAGATGAATATACTTTCATTTTAACTATATGAACTATATGAAATTTCATTTAACTATATGATTAATCCAGACTAAATTTAATCTTGAATGATAATCAATGACTTGGTTAAGGACTGTTGTGAGATACTTCTGTATCTCATTATAGGGCTTAGTTCTCTCCTATCTTCTTCCCCTTTTTTCAGCTGTTTAAGTCTGTTCTCTAGTAGCATGACAAACATCGCCTAGCATTCATTTCCTCAACAGATTATGGAACTGAAATGAGTGGTTGTAATTGTAGACTCATTTATACTAAAAATATTTGTTGGATATCTACTATGTGTGAGGCTGTAACAGTGAATATAAGGAAAAAGGGGCCCTGCTCATCTAACGTAGTGGAACTGCTGTTCATCACATTGGAGACAGAGTTAGATTCCCATGAAATTAAAGGGCCTTGGTAAATACCTCAGGCTTTCCATTGAAACCTCACTAAAGTGATACCTTAGGAGAAAAGCTTTGTCCTAGAACTTAGGCTTCAGCCTAAGAGTAAGGAAACAGACTTTCCCTAACAAAGTGTAAAACCAAGCCTCCACAAGCTGAGGATAATCAGGCAGTATTTTATCTAGCTGCATAAAGTTGCCATGAGTTAGAGTCAACACTGGCAACTAAATAACAACAAAAGACAAAAATCAACAGTTTTCATAGGAAGATAACAGAATCTAGAATATTTGCAATTTATCATTCAAAATGGCCAATGTATAATAGACATGTTAAAAAAAAAGAAAAAGAAAAAGAAAATGTGACCTATGGTCAAGAGAAAAAACAGTCAATAATAACAGAGCCTGAAAAGACTCAGATGTTGAAATTTGCAGATAAGGACTTGAAAGCGCAACCACTGCCATTGATGCAGATCCAACTCATAGCGACTCTTCCTTGGGTTTCCGAGGCACTATCACTATGGAAGTAGATTGCCCAACCTTCAGTAGCTATTATAAATATATTGAAGGACTTAAAAGAAAGGTGTAAAAATGAGTGAATAATTCAGGTGATTTTAGCAAAGAAATGGAAACTATAAAGAAGAACCAAATGGAAATTCTAAAATTGAAAACTATTACTTATGAAATGAACAGTTCACTGGATGGGTTTATTTGCAAGTTGGAGGAGGCGAAAGAAAAGATCAGTGAACCTGAGAATAGATCATCAGAAATTATACATTCTAAAAAGCAGAATGAAATTGAGATGGAAAATCAGTGAAAATGGAAGAGTAAGGGCTTCTGAAAATCATCTCCATTAACATAATGAGAACACTAGCAAAAAAATTATAGAAATCAACTTTGTCAGAACTCTGAAAATTAATCAGAAGCTTGCAGCAATTCAGGGAACATGTATGCAAGAAAAAGATCTGAACTTTGGTAAAACAGTGAGTTTTGTGGCATTTTAATGTGACCTGTTCTCATTCTCCCAAACCCAGCTCTGCAATAGCCTTGGAAACCAACAGTCTACAATCCCAGGGAACAACACCTACTAGTGGGTGCAGAGCAGAGTCGGTGCTCCTTCAACACCTGCTTCCGGAGCATTATCATTGTTTGATTTATCTGGTACTTCCTGGAAGACTTCACTTGCAAGGATGTCTTTATTTGACCTGCCCTGGCGCTCATCCAGTGCAAACAGCTTTTTCTCTGTTGAAAACAATTAGAATTGTTTAACATCACAGCTGCCTGAGACAATGAGTAATTGTTGGAGCCAACCAAAGAAAAGCTAGGGAATAAGATGTCCATAGAGGATTTTGAAAAGCTTCTACTTCTTCCTGGGACTCTAGAAGGCCACACACGTATAGGACTTTGTGTATGCCCAAGGTTATGCACATGGTCAGGAAGGAAGCGAGAGTACCCTAAACTCTCACCTCTGGCTGACCTTGAGGCTGTGTACAAGTAGGAATTAAAGGCTAAGGTAGAGCTTTGAATTTCTGCTTGTCCAAGTGTTGAAGGTATGTCTCAACATACAACAAAAACCTTGGCAAACACTAGGTGAATTATTGGTTTCAGGTACTTAAGGAAATCTCATCCAAATCATCAGCTGACTACTGAGCTAACCAATCAGAGACTTCAGTGGTAACACATAACAAAGAATACAGACTTGTTACAAAATTACTTCTAGCAACACATAAACAGGATTACACCATGACGACATGGAATTTATTCCAGAATGCAACATGAATTCAACATAGGAAAATCAATCAATGAAATATGCCTTTATTTTCTTAGGATAAAAGACAAAAACACATGATTATTTCAATAGATGCTCCAGAATGACTTTACAGTTCTTCATAATAAAGTCATTCAATGAAAGGAATTTCCTTAACTTGATAAGAGTTGAAAAACTCACAGCTAACATCATACTTAATGGTTAAAGACCAAGTGCTTTCTCCTGCTAACATCAAGAACAAGAAAAGGATTTCCATTCTCAACACTTATATTGAACATTATAGTGGACATTAAGGCAAGAAAAATAAATAAGTGGCATCCAAGTTAGAAAAGAAGAAATAAAGTTATCTCTATTTGCAGATGACTTGATCTTTTATACAGAAATTCCTAAGGGACTCACAAAAATGCTATTTGAGCTAATAAACAAGTTTACCAAAGCTGCAGGAAACAAAGTCAATATACATTGTTAATTGTATTTTTATGCACTTGTAATGAACAATATGAAAATAAAACCAAGAAAGCAGTTCAATTTACATTAGCATAAGAAAGAATAAAATATTTAGGAATAAATTTAACAAAGGTACAAGACTTGTGCCCTGAAATCTACAAAATATCATTGAAAGAAATTAGAAAAGACCTAAATAAACAGGAAGAAATCCCATGTTCATGGATTAAAACCAGAAACCAAACTCACTGCCATTGAGTCATTTCCAACTCATAGAGACCCCTCCTTGGGTTTCTGAGGAGGTATCTCTATGGAAGTAGATTGCCCAGTCTTCCTTCTGA